AGATCATGGTTCTCTGAGGAAAGCATGGTTTGCTTTCATTGCCAAACCTAGTCAAAAGAGGGCCAAAAGTTTCCAGAGTGTCCCCCGCCATGCAGGAAGCTTCATACTTCCCTGGTGTTATGCCAGGGTCACTCCCACCCCACCAGGGGGCGGCACTCACTTGAACAAGAAAGCTTAAGTTAGGTGAGTTAGTGAACACATGCGTGTGTTCGTGAGCGCGCACAACTGAGAACTGATGTGTGCCACTTGCTTGTTCGGAGGCCTAATGAAGAGGGGTTGTAGCTCAATAGTAAATCTCTTGCACAACATATGTCTCTGGGCTTGACCTGCCACCATATGCATGTGCTCACGCTCACGCGCATGCTCGCTCACGCGCACGCTCACGCGCATGCGCACACGCATGCTCACGTGCACGCGCACGCTCACGTGCACGCGCACGTGCACTGGTCTACACACACACACACACACACACACACACACACACCCCACACACACACCACACACCACATTTACTTCACTAGACCCAGAATTAGAGAAAAAGAAGGAAGGAGATCACAGAGCCATAAGACACAACGATGCTCAGTTACTAAGAGCCAGAGGTGGATGGATCGGCCCAGTGAGGCAAGGAAGTCTTTTGCTAAAGGACCTTGGCACAAGAAGCTGGTCACTTTTTGTTTGTTTGTTTGTTTGTTTTTGTTTGTTTGTTTTTCGAGACAGGGTTTCTCTGTATAGCCCTGGCTGTCCTGGAACTCACTCTGTAGACCAGGCTGGCCTCGAACTCAGAAATCCACCCGCCTCTGCCTCCTAAGTGCTGGGATTATGTCGTGTGCCACCACCGCCCGGCATGGTCACTTTTTTTTTAATACCAGTGAGCCAGAAGTGGTTTCCTGCTGTCTCGAGCCTCAGTTTCTTAGGGGCTCCTAGCATATTTGAGCTTCCTCCTGAATTTATTTCTAAACTAAAGAGCTCCATGCAGGAGGTCACATGACCTTTAAAGTAGAGAGATTATGCTCAAATTCTTAGAAGACTTCCAAGGGGAAAAAACTGGGAAGGAGTGGGGAAGTGATTGAGGTACAGCAGACACCGTAGACCAACCAGTAAAACTAAGTACCACCAGAAGCTCAGAAAGTATCAACTCCATCTTGCACCCTGGGCTACTAGAGGGTGGAAAGAATATGTTTATCTGAATGTCAGCAGTAAAGGAAGAATGAATAGCAGGTAGGTTCTAGTACCCAAGGCACTCAAGAGCTGGCAGAACCTCAAGGGAAGCCTTACTGTAGTCATCTAGGGGCTACCTACCAGTTGGACATGTATTGATTATGTATTGTGTACTTGACAGACTGTGGGCTTGGCACTCTGAGGGGCCACTATTGAGGACAGTTGCACACAATCTCATCCAATCTATATGGCACGATTTATGGTTCCATACCGTTAGTCTTGTCAGCTGTTAACTACCAAAGGTATAGACAGCGCTCTTGCTGTCCTAGAACTCACTATATAGACCATGCTGGCCTCAAACTCAACAGAAATCCCTGCCTCTGCCTCCTGGGTACTAGAATTAAAGGCCCAGTTTGAGATCTAATCGGGGCGGGGGGAGGGGGATGAGCCTGGCACTCTATGTACAGTCTCTTGTCTCCCACCTCTCCCTAGTTCTCCTTCCTGGATTTGACTTTTGAGGCTCCTGCTGTGTTCCGGCCCTCCCCCCTTAGATTCAACAGCTGCCCACCACCCTCCCCTACACATATCTCACGTACCCCTTTTCTACTACCTCTCTCCCATCCAGAACTCCATCCGTCACAACCTGTCCTTGCACAGCAAGTTCATCAAGGTCCACAATGAGGCCACTGGCAAGAGCTCTTGGTGGATGCTGAACCCCGATGGCGGCAAGGGTGGCAAGGCACCCCGGCGCAGGGCTGCCTCCATGGATAGCAGCAGCAAGCTGCTCCGGGGCCGCAGCAAAGGCTCCAAGAAGAAGCCATCTGTCCTGCCAGCTCCACCTGATGGTGCCACTCCAAGGAGCCCTCTTGGCCACTTTGCCAAGTGGTCAAGCAGTCCTTGTCCTCGGAATCGAGAAGAAGCAGATATGTGGACCACTTTCCGTCCACGGAGCAGTTCGAATGCTAGCACTGTCAGCACCCGGCTGTCCCCAATCAGGCCAGAGTCTGAGGTGCTAGCAGAAGAGGAAATGCCAGCCTCAGCCAGCTATGCAGGGGGTCTCCCTCCCACCCTCAGTGAAGATCTGGAGCTGCTGGATGGGCTCAATCTTGCATCTCCCCATTCCTTGCTGTCTAGGAGCGGTCTCTCCAGCTTCTCTTTGCAGCATCCTGGGCTTGCTGGCCCCTTACATAGCTATGGCGCCTCCCTCTTTGGCCCACTAGATGGGTCTCTGTCAGCAGGAGAAGGGTGCTTCTCAAGTTCCCAGTCTCTAGAGGCTCTGCTCACCTCTGATACACCACCACCTCCTGCTGATGTTCTCATGACCCAGGTAGATCCTATCCTGTCTCAGGCTCCTACACTTCTGTTACTGGGAGGAATGCCTTCCTCTAGCAAGCTGGCCACAGGAGTCAGCCTGTGTCCTACACCGCTAGAGGGTCCTGGTCCCAGTAACCTGGTTCCCACCCTTTCTGTGATGGGACCACCTCCAGTCATGGCAGGCGCTCCCATCCCTACGGTCCTGGGAACCCCTGTGCTCGCATCTCCTACTGAAGATTCCAGCCATGACAGAATGCCTCAGGATCTGGATCTCGATATGTATATGGAGAACCTGGAATGCGACATGGATAACATCATCAGTGACCTCATGGATGGTGAGGGACTGGACTTCAACTTTGAGCCAGGTATAACACCCCCGAATCACTCCAGCATCTTTGCTCTTGAATGTTCAGCTAATTCTATGATCTGAGCCAGAGAGAGCCGTACAGCAGAGAACGGGAGTCCCTGGGGAGGTGGAAGGGAGGGTGTCATATTAGAATAGCATAACTTCTAAATGTGGGCTCCTCATCACAGAACAGGGAGCCTTGGGGATGTGAAGGGGTACTTCCGGTATGAATCTGATGTCCCACATGAATTTCTTATCTTGTCCTCCATTTCTTTTTCCCACAGATCCCTGAGTCACAGCAAGAAGCTTTGTCCCCTGCTTCAGAGGTGGTGGAGATGGAGCCAGGCCTGTCCTTATCTACTTTTCCCCCTTGAGCCCTCCTCAGGAGTTTGAGACCCTACTTTAGAGCTAGAGAGAGGTGGTTACACACTCAAGTATTGAGGGAATTATAAAGATACATCTATGACGTGTTGGAGGAGGGTGATGGGAGGAAGGAGGGAAAAGGGCTTATTCTCACTGTGCCAATTAGGGGGTAATTATGGTCCTCTCTCAGGGGCCACCATTGATTTCCCCATTCCCACCACCTAGGCCTTGTAGCAGGGGCCAGCAATGCTGTTGGAAATGTGAAGTCACCAGTGGCCTTATTACCCTGCCTTTCGGAGCAGGATTATTATTTTTTGGTAGAGAATCTTATTAGAGCTGGGCCAGGCACGGTTGAGCCTGGATTTTTATGCAGTGGGGTGGGGGTGGGGGGGCCAGGGGCCCCTAGAAGGGCCAAGTTTTGAGCACTGGAGTGGCTCACGAGGCCAAATCACTTTTGGAAGGATGCAGATAACAGACAGGCTTTTTATAAACTTTTAAAGAAATATAAACACAAATATAGAGATTTTTAACAGTGGTGAGGTGCTAGCGATGGGGAGAAGGCTTTTTTTCTTTCCAAAGGCTTTGTCATAGTGACATGATACAAACACTACAGACTCTACAGAGGAGACACAGGATGCTAGGGAGAGGTGGGTAGCCAGACTGACTGGAGAGAAGTGTTCCCTTTTGGACCAGGTCTAGAAAAAGCTCTGTGCATAGTTTAAGCAAAAGCACCTAAGCCAGGTCCCCACATTTGTCCACTTGTGCCTAGAAGAGGGTGCTGTTGTGGGGCAAGCACGCTCTTGTTTAACCAGCGCGGGTTAGGTTTCTCCCAGAGAGAGCATCCAAGGCCTGAAATTGGCTTGAGGCCTGGGAGGGGCGTGAAAGAAGGAAGGATTTAGGGTAGTAAAGTTAGGTACAGAGACCTCCCTGTTCAAGGACTGGGACAGCTGTCCCTGCCCTTCTTCCCAGTCCTGGTTTGCCAGGGTTATGTGGAAGACTATGTGGTGGCAGGCAGGGCTGTGGAGAGGAACAGGGAAGGGGGAGCCTGAAGTTTGGCTGAGGGTCTGGGAAATGAGCAGGGATGGGGGCAATGTGGATCAGGTTTACTAGCACCTGCCAGAGAGGCCATCTGGGGCTCCTCCACCCCAGCCCCCAAGCAGCCCCTCCCCCAGCGCCCTTTGCATTGTCCCCTCCCCCACTCCTGCTGTGGGTTCCCATCATTTCCTGTGTCAGCGCCTGGCCTACCCAGATTGTATCATGTGCTAGATTGGAGTGGGGAAGTGTGTCAAATCAATAAATGAGTTCAATAAATGTCTATAATCAGATCTGGTTTCTGGTTTCTGCTGCCTTGCTGCCCCCGTCCCACAATAATGGGGGAGGGAGGGTGGCGGAAAGGCGAAGGGCAGTTAGTTGAAGGGCGGGTGGCCGCGACTGCCCGCAGGCTGGGAGGTGGGGGAATTTCAGCCTGGGAGGTAATGGAGTGTGGTGGGGGAGGGACACCTAACCCCAGCAGGAGTAGGCGGCTGCAAGATAGGCCTCCCCCGAGGGGAGGTAGTCTGGTTTGAGAAGACCCCACCCCCTTCTCTGGCCCTCAAAGGCTTATTGTACTAAAGTCTAGCAACTAGACTTCACAGTCTTTCCTCACCGCCCCCCCCCCCCAAAGTGTTCACTCCAGCCCTCTGTTGTTGCTCTGGTCCACCCTCAGCCTCCCTGGTGCCTACAGCCTACTGTAGCCTTTGTGCAGATGCTGAGAGAAGGAGTCTTTCTAGAAAAAGAAACCTCACGTTCAATTCCAGTAATTTCATGCTCTCTCCTGGTAGTTGCTGCTCTCACTTGGTCATTTTATTGAGTTAATGATGTCTCTTGAGAAAGTCTGCTCTAGTCTTATAGAATGGTCTGCGGGTGGAAGGTGGCCCATCTTCATCTGATCGCCCCCCTTTAGACTGGAAAAGAAAAACAAATATATTAATGGAGAGGCTCTGCAGGGAAAGATTCCTACTGTCTAGGGCCAAAGGAAGGAGAGAAAAGGTTGGGGTCAGATGGTGAACATAGAAGTCGAATTTAGCCAGGAAATTCTCAGAGATGAGCAGTGCTCGAACCTTCAGTTGGCTGCTTGGGCTAGGGGCCTGCTGGGTTCCACTACTCTTGGGAGATCTTGCCAGGAGATTTACAGAGGATTCCATGGCTGCCAGTCTCTTGGCTTCTAGAGTTCTAAGCATCTTTATTCGGCTCCTCTCCAGGAATTCACATTGTGTGAGAAGTGACTCTAGAAAACAAGAAAAAGTACCAGCCCCTCTGAGGAACAGAGATGGAACACATCATGACCCTCTGTCATTCAATGGATCAGTCAGGGTAACTTGGCCCAAGATAGAAACTATGGGAAGGAAGTGGGGAGAATAACACGCATGGTTTAAACCAGACACTCCCTCTAAAGTTTACCTAGACCCTTGCCCCCCTTTTCCTAGGCTTCCATGATCCCACCAACCACACTATGCTAAGCCCCATCCAACCACTTCTCTGAAAGAGTCCTCCACATTTAAGCCCAGGCTGCCTTTAACTCAAAATCCTCCTGCTGGAGTGCTGGGGTTCCCAGTGCATGACACTATGCCCAGTACATAGCTGTGTACCCCACTTCCTATGTCCTACCTCCCCCATGACGTGCCTTACCAACTAGTTCAGGTTCTGGATTCTTCAGGAGGGGCACAATGGCTTTGTAGGAATTGTGGATTCTGGTGCCTGTAAACATAACATTAGGCCATCTCCAGCCCCTGATACATACAAAATCTTTGCCCTTTTGAAGCCCAAGATTTCAGGATAGTAACAACAAACACTTTCTTGAGCTGGTACACATTTTTCTTCCCCTTTGGCACAGACCTACACAGACCCTAGGATGAAGTAGGTTGGCTTGGTATATATGTTCCTAATCTACTGTCATCAAAGTAGTGTTCTTTGAGCTGACTAGTTATAGTCTATTTAGATCTGGCTAAGAATGCCCTATTTTACTTACTATTTTGTTTGGGGGGGGGAGGGTCGAGATAGGATCTCATATAGCCCAAGTTCCCTTTGAACTCCTAATGTTCCTGGCTCTACCTTGTAGGATTTTTTTTTTTTTCGAGACAGTGTTTCTCTGTGTATCTCTGTCCTGGAATCCTGGAACTCATTCTGTAGACCAGGCTGGCCTCGAACTCAGAAATCCGCCTGCCTCTGCCTCCCAAGTGCTGAGATTAAAGGCGTGTGCCACCACTGCCTGGCGTAGGTGTTTTCTTTTGAGTTAGCTGGCCTCTAACTCTCAAGCTTCCTTACCTCCATTTCTAAAGAATTTATTCATTTTGAGACAGGGTCTTATGCAGCCCAGGCTATCCTCAAAGTTGCTGAATAGTTAAAAATGACCCGGAACTTCAGCTTCTCCTGTCTCCACCTCCCAAATACTAGGATTATAGGCACTGCACCTGATTTTATGCCATGTTGGAGATGGCATCCAGAATCTCATGCATGCTAGGCAAGCACTCTGCCAGTGAGCTACATCTGGGCCCTGCTTTATAGTATTTGTTTGTTTGTTGCGTTTGTGTGTGTGGCGTTTGTGTTTGGGATGAGGTTTGATGATGTGTTTGTTATAAAGCCCCAGGCTTCCCTTTAACTCACAATCCTCCTGCCTTAGTTCCTTGAGTGCTGGGATTACAAGAGAAAGCTGCCTTATTTTAAGGACAAATTTCCTAGTCCATCTTGAGGGATTTGATCTATGGAGAACACTCCCAAGCCTCTACCTGGTGCCCCACGCTCCACTTTACAAACATAGTAGGTATTTCGAGCTGTAAGGAATTTGCTGGCATAGTCTCCAGGTGTCTTTGACAGGAAGAGTAACTTCATGGTCCCCGATTCATCACACAAATCAATGGTGTCTAGAGGAAGGCCACGGGGGTAATTGGGATAGGGAAGAACAGAGAATATGAATAAAAAGGGCCAGTGGTCCTCTACAGAATGGGTCTGAGGAAAGTTTGAGTATAGGAGGACAGCCCTTCTTGCTGAGAGGAAAGTTTAGAGGCTAGAGGCAGCTTATTGCTTCTGACCTTCAATCACTACTCCTCCCAAAGCCACTTACCTGTTTTCCGTAATCCCATTTTCTTTCTGGTGTAATGTAGCAACAGGAGGACAGAGCAATTGGTATTGACCAGAAACTCTTGATTGTCTGAGAAGAGATAGGATGGATGGAAGTATGCAGGCCCTACTCTAGTTCTACCCCCTCAGTGATCTCAGCTGTCCTCATCCCTCCCTCCCCATGCCCATCCCCAGACTGTTGCTTTGCACTGCCCCTCACCTCCATGTTTGATGATGATAAACATGCTACTGAGGTCATTTCATTCTTCACTCCGTGATGAATCATGCAGAAGGGGAGGTGTTCTTACGGCCCCGAGGGCCTGAGGGTGCCCATAGGGCTAGAGGATTGAAGGGGCAGATGGATTTATAAATTGAAGGAGGCCCAGACTGGGCAGACTTGAGAGAGCTTTTGACAGTTGGGGCGGGGCCTGGGGCTGCAGTTAAAGGATTGTGAGGTCAGAAGTGGTATGTGTAATAGAAGACAGTGGATGGGCTCCATAAGCCCATAAAGTAGCTTCAAGGAATTGGGACAACATGGCAAATATAACTCTAAACTGGCCCCTGGAGTGAGCCCAGAAGTTTACCAGAGAAAAGTAAGTAGCCAGAACACTACTCCTTTCAGCTAATTTGTGGTTCTCTCACTTCTTCAGTGTGACTGTACTAGGCCCTTGGCCTACCCTTACACCATTCTTCCCAACTTCATTGTTTGCCATGTTTCCCCCTGCTCCTGAACCCCGCAACAGACATTCTTGAGGATCATTGGTAAAAACTTTATTTCTTGTTGATTCGGAAACAGTTGACTTTAGGTGGAAAAAGGGAGGGAGAATCCTGTAAAAGAGAAGGGCAGTGCTGGGTGTGGGGATGCATACCAATCACCCCAATACTTGGGAGGCGGGAGAATCACCTGTGAGTTATAGGCCAACCTGGCCTACATAGTGAGTTCCCAGCCACCCTGGGCTACAGGGTAAGAGTCTCCCCAGAAAGGTGAAAAGGTGCTAGCCTGGGCAGGGGAGGACTTGTGCAGGAAAACAGGGCAAGGGGCATTCTCAAGTAGAAGATATGGAATGGAAAAGCAGTTACACGGGACATGAAATTGTAAATTAGCCACGGGGTAGGGGGGCAGTGAGCATTGGATCCAGATTGGCAAGTTGAGTAAGGGGAAGTTAGCATCACTTAGGGCTATAGGACTTTGAGGTTCCATCAGAGGATTGAGGTTCAGGCTTCAGGCTTCAGAGAATAACATGGAGGAGGCCAGTAAGGGCTATGCAGGCTGCAAGGAGAACCTCCAGGCCCCTCTCCTAGGGCCCCTCCTTTGGCAGGAATCTCACTGACGTGGCAGAACCGTTCACTGTAGTCTGGCTGCAGACTCTCAGTCAGCCCTTTAGACACACCACTCCAGGCCTAAAGACAGATATCTCCAGGTCAGAGGTCAATTAGGGGCAGGAAGCAAAAGACTCAGGCTCTGGGCCAACGGATCTTTCACAAATCTGTAACCATTGTGATTACAGAAGGGCTATCTAGGCTCCAGGGCTCCTAATGCCCTGTAGTTTCCGTCTGAATCACATAAATCTCTTTGGCTCCGTCTCTCCGCTTAGCCCACCCTCCATTTGGTCAGTCACATCCTAATGGTACAGGCCCCCTCCTCCTTCCACTGTGCACCCACCCCACCCCCAGTCTGTCTTGCTGACTAGCAGTTGGCAGTTGATAAACTATAGTATGTGTATGGTAGTGTTCTCACCGAAAAGTTCCCGTGGTATTCAGTAACCAGATCCTCTAGGTTCTTGATGGGGGGAATTCGAGGCATTCTGACCAGAGAGAAAGAGAGAGCAGAAGCATTAAATGAAAGATCTTTATTACCCTGTATCCAACTGGCCAGCGTGGAACCTCTAGCTTCCTCTCAACACTCTTATCATAGCTCTTAAATGATCTACCCTGGAGATCTTGAAATAACCCCACTACCCCCACCTCATTTTAAGGGCTTCCTGAAATCTCACCGTTCCAACCAACAGTACACAAAGATCAGGGTAATAATCAACCCCATGGTGCCAACAGGGATAAGCACAGCTTCCAGTGCAAACAAGGAAGGATTCTCTGTAACAAACAAGGAAAATGACCCTTGCATTGTGGTACTCATAAGACATGGATGCCAGGCACCACGCCAAACACACTCCTTATGCTTACTTTCCACATGGCTCCTGAGAGGGAAGAACAGTGTTTATCTACATTTTACAGATGAATAAGCCAAATCAAAGAGGGCGGCCCAGATCCAAGCTCATCTCTACTATGCAGACTCTCTACGGTTGTGGAGATCTCCTATACATTTCATATCCCCTGAAGCATCCTTTGGCCTCCTTGGGGATCCACTCTTCTATTTTAGCTGCACCCCTTCTCATCCCTCCATAGAAAATCCTGCTTCCTAGAGATTGACGTTAAACAGTAAGGGCGGGGGGCTTAGGGCTAGAGAGATAAAGCAACTGATAGTGACTGTGTTACAAAGGTTAGGGTACTGGGTGAATGATTTAGAGGTCATACATTTGGGCACTTTACCCTCTGCAGTATGGCTTCCCCAGTGGACTGGTTTGCTCCATTTACTCCACTGTTGAGTACTTCCACAGATTGGGTTAAAGCGGCTTCGAACCCGAAATGTGTACAGCTTCTGCTCATCCACACTAGGCAAGGAGAATCTAGGTTTATGATCCACTATTTGTTCCTAGGGAGAAGAAGGGTGAGGGAAAGATGGTTATCAATAAAGGAAGAGAGAATGGGAACATTCTTGCCTATACTTCAATGTCATCTTCTGGTTCTTCTAATTTCTTGTTCTTTCCAGTACCAGGAAAACAAAACAAGAAACTGGTTCTGGTCCCTTCCGGTTCTACTTTGCTTCTCTCCTGACTAATCAGAACATACTGCTCCCCTTCTCTAACTTGACTACCCTCCAGATCCATGTTCTGGCTTCCTTTATGTCTGGCATCAGAAAGAGGATGGTGGGAGAGCCAAAGTGAAAGCTCATTGGTGAAATCAGAAAAAAAAAGTGAAAGTATGGACAGAGAAGCTGGGAGGCAGAGAACTGGGTCTGATATTAGGTTCTTCTGTCTGACTAGTTGAACCCTTTCTCCTCTTGCTTGGCCTTAGCCACTGCATCCACAACGCCAAGTCACTCACCGTCCAGCTCCGATCTCGGTTGCTCCGGTACTGCACCATGTACTGTAAACATCGTTCTATATATCTGCTTTTCCATCTCAGCTCTAGCTGGGATTCACTCAGGTTGTAAAGTGTTAGATTCTCTGGAGCCCATGGGATCACTGGAGATATGAATGTGTGTGGTCATTGCCCTGGCCTAGGCAAGTCAGGATCTTGGAGGTAATTAATTCCCCTTATCCCCCCTCCCTTCCCCATCCCAACTCCCCATCTTCTCCTTTCTGTCCATGGCCAACAATCTATAAACTCCAGAGCCTTTAAGCTCCCTGGCCTCTTGGCACTTCTTTCCTGATTACCAAGATTCTGTAGGTTTAGCTTCTGTTCAGCTCGCCTTTGGGGTTTCTGGGGGTCCCGGAGCTGGACAACAAATGTCAGGTAGAGCTGGATATCTTCTTTTTGTATCTGACAGCCAGAAGTAATCTCTTTCGAGAACAGATAGTGGCCACACTCCTGGAATGTATTATTATCAGATCCCTTGTACCTAGAGAAGGGTTACAAGGCAAAAAAAAAAAAAAATGATGGGTCTAACATAGGTACCACATCTGCCCATAGCCTAGCCTCATCTGGTCTGAACTGACAACTTATCCCATGAGAAACTGGTAGGGTGCCTGAGGAGATGGCTACCCACTTTTATTGGTCCTCATGCAGTCTCTCCCAGCTAACCCACCTTCTCTTCTTCCTATGCTACCCCTCCCCCCTCTCTTACCTATAGTGCAGAGTGAGGTTGGTCGCCTGAGGCTCAGAACTGCTATTCCAAGTGCAATTCATGTACTCAACATTGAATACAAAGCATTGAACCTCTGGGAGGGGCAGAGTAGGAACACTGAGGTGTTTATGGTCCATAGAAGTCAGGACCAAATCTAAGTTTGTGAAGAAAACGAAGTAGTGGAGTGGAAGAAAAAGAAATCTTGGTCAGAAGAAGCAATAGTGAGACAGACAGCCCTCCCTTTCCCCTCCCCACACTTCTTTTTAGTCATTGTGGTGAGCACTAGCAGGCTCCAGATTGTATAGAAAGAGCAGCCCTTTTCCCATAGCCTTCCTCTCAACAGTCCCCTCTGGTCCTAGATTTCCTACCAGCTTTGGTGTCTTCATTCCCACTGGACATGAGGACCTTGGAGCTCCACCCTACCCTCAGCAGAAGCAGCTGAAGGAGTAAGAAGGAGCTAGATGGCAATAATGGTTTCAACATGGCGCTTGCTCTTCTTTCTCTGGGTGTTGTCTGTGTCAGAACCCTGAACCACTCTCCCACAAGCCCTCCCCACCCATACATTTCCTTTTGTCGTAGTTTCCGGTGGAAAGAACCTTAGAAACCACGCTGTAGAGGGAGGGGGGGTTAGTAAATGTGTTCAGTGACATAAGCTAAGTCCCCTGGGAGATTTGGGTTCTGCTCTAAGGTGATGTTCTGTCAAGATTAATACTTGATCAACAACAGTGTCACAGAATCAAGACTCTTCAGGTCACCTAGGTCCCGGAAGGCTCTGCTGGACACCCACCCCCACCACATACCATCACTCCCAACCACCTTTTCCCTCTAGGCTATCTTAACCTCTGTCAAAGTTCTGCAGTCTAGGGAGGATGGGTGGAAAATACTGACTTGATTCATGTAGGTGCATACATAGCTGTCTTTCCTCTGACCTAATCTGAACTAGAATAACCACCCCTAACTGCTGCCTGAGTTTGGTCCCTGTTGACCCTGGTGAGAGCTGGTTTCTAAGATGGAAGAACAACAGAACTCACTTCAGGCTCTCTAGCTCCCTGCAAATCGGCTTCTCCTTCTGTCTTCCTTGTCCTGCTTAATAGCATCATCACCTGCGAGACTTGAAACCTTAGGATCCTCTTCATGTCCCCCCTTCTCTCTCACACTGAGAATCCAATCACCCCTGTTTCTGTGGTATTTCTCCCAGCAGTTTCCTCCTTTCTGTTAACCACAGCCACTGTGCTAAATCAGCCTTTCATTACCTCCAGTCACGATTATTCCCGTAACCCACAAACTGGTCCCCTTTCTCAAGGGCCTCTGCTCTCCAGTCCATTCTTCATTCTGTGGCTAGATTTACCTTCCCTCAGAGCACAAGGTTGATTGGAGAAGCCATTTACTGAAATTGTTTATCCAGCCAACATTTATTGAGTCTTTAATATGTGCTCAGTACTGTGCTTATGTTCTGAGAACAGAAGACAAGACATCATCATTTTAGAAGCTCAGAGATAAGTGGGGAACATATAAATAATACAATGTACTGTAATGAGTTCTACAGCATAGATGTGAAGATTCTCCAAAACACAGTTAAACAAAGGTAGGAACCAGCCAGCTGTTCTTTGCCTCCGCCTGATTTGCTACTCTATTTTCTCTCTGGTAAAATTACACTAATTTTTTCAGATTCTGCTTTAAAAGCATCTCTTCAGTAAAGTGCCCTTGAACTATCCTCTTTCCATCTTGGTCAAT